ATTGTTAATGAAATCTTAACATAACTAAACAGGGGGTGGGGGAGGCGGGGCCGGACCGCCATGCTGACTGGTCGCATGCAGGAGAGGCTCAAGAGAAATCTGGCCTCTTAGGCAAATCCTGCAGCTTTGACACCCGCAAGGAGCCCAAGAAACTCGCACACGGCGGTGGACACTGTGGCAGAACCCGAGATCGGGAGCTTTGGGACCCTGAGGGGCCGAACAAAGCTTTGGGGACTGTGGCCTACTCGAGAGGGAAGTGGGGTGGACGGCCGCTGCCCTGTCTCCCCTCGTGGCTGCCACACGCTGACTCTCTGAGACGCCTGCCGGTCCTGTTATCCCGGTCCTCACTGTGGAGAGCTCGGGAGAAATGGAGAATGAGAGACACTGTACTCCTAGGATCTACCTTTCCAAAGGCAGCAGTGCAGAGCCAGACGCCAACGGCCCCTGCCTCGTGAATCCCCAGAGGAGAAAAGCCATGCAGCACTACAACCTGCACAACCGTAAAGCAAGCCCAGCGATTCTGACGTAAACTACGAGAGCGTCAGAAGCATCGGTGATCGGGCTACAGTTGGAACAACACAGCAGTACCGTGCTGGGGAGGAGAAAACCCCTTCGGGGCAAATCCTGCCCGCTAAGGCCTGCCTATCCAGCAACCCCAGTGAGGCAGACCCCAAAACCAGAAAGGTAATCACCCATAGCTCCAACAAAAGCGACTACAATCCCCTGCTGGGTCTTTTGCCTTCTCTGGGGTGCTGGGGGGGAACCCCGACCGCGACATGTGGCTTGTCTACTGGTCCACCTCGAGACACTAAAGCCTGCAGTACTCACCCTGGTTGCGGGACTATGTTATACTCATGGACAGCGCAGGTTAATCTCAGACAGAAGGGACTCCTGGTCACCTACCTTACTCTCCATTCTGGTGAGGTGGGAACACATATGGGCCACTGTGTACCAATCAAGCGCCCTCCTCTGCCGTCTGTGTGTCAGTTGCTCTTCAGTCACCATGTTATGCCTTTAACCAGTTAGATGCCTCCTGGAGGACTTATCTTGAATAATGCTTGATTGTGCTATACTTTTGTTTTTCAATACTTTTCTCCTGAATTTTAAGCATGTATTCTCACAATATTCATGTATAGCAGTTAGCATACTCATATTCAGCACTCTAGGGGGCTCAAGTTAACCTGACTAGCACAGCATGATAACCCCCATGTATCATTACCGATTTACCATATGAGACATGATAGGAAACTTCAGCCGGCTTACAATATGCAAACTAAGTCTCCAGACTAAAGCCAGAACACACGCATGTCCTACACATATTGCCATTCAACTCCTTAACTTAGCGACACACTCGTAAGTTCACGCCTAATTATCATCTGCAAATTGAGCTACCTACACGCACGCATGCCCACCACATCTTGTCACCCGACTCATCAACATGTGACGTGTTAAAAGTTTAAGCCTGTTAATAATTTAAAAATGTGCACAGTTTTCTCCTGCCACTGTTTCACTGAAATGTCAAAGTATACGCTGTTGTGGCGTTATTAAGTTGATTTGTACTCACATGCACAACAAAATAAAGAATTATATATATATATATATATAAAAAAAAAAACATAACTAAACAAAAACATCACTCAAAACTGAATGCACCAGAATAAACTATACAATTCATTCAGTAAGAAACCTGTTATTTTTATAATTAATTGCAGGAAGGATAATCAAGCACCAACAAACCTACATAAATATATGGAATATATAGTATAATGAACTTTGCAGATAATGGTACGGCCGGCCCATCGTGCCAAAACAGATAGGTCAGGCTTTTTGAAATTACTAACCATGTCAGTACATCTTCCCAAAGATGATAAAATATATAATGATATAAACATATTTGCATCCTAATGAAATCCCCCAAAATACAGATAAATAAATAAACCAAAAAACATTGGGGTACATACAGAAAAAAGTAAATCAACCCTGAGATGACTTTTCAAGTGTTTTTTCAGAATTGTGATGACAGTATTTAATACGATCGCCCATAAAAGATACATTAAAGGGACACTACAGTAACCAGAACAACTACAGCTTAATGTAGTTGTTCTGATGAGTAAAGTTATTCCTTGCAGGCTTTTTGCAGTAAACAGTCTTTTCAAAGAAAATGCAGTGTTTACATTGATGCCTATGGACACCTCCAGTGACAGTCACTCAGACAGTCAATAGAGGTGCTTCCTGGGTGCAGCATTAACGTTTCGCATCTCCACACTCTGCATGGAAGCGCTGAATTTTCCCTAAAGAGATGCATTGAGTCAATGCATCTCTATGAGGAGATGCTGATTGGTGCAATGCAGTTTTGCCCCCGCCCCCACCCTTCCTCCTTGGCTGAGATCATCACAATTGACGATCTCAGACAATCCAATGCTTTCCTACGGCGCAGGAAAAAAAGTGAGTTTTCTACCTTTTTATGGGAGGCAAGGGGGAGTGGAAGGGAGGCAAGGGAGAAGGCAGAGAGATACAAGAGGAGAGGGGGGGGAGGAACACTACAGGGTCAGGAATACATGTTTGTGTTCTAGACCCAATAGTGTTCCTTTAAGCCAATACTTCAAGCTACAATTACTGCATTTACTGCCGTACTTTAAAGTAACCCCCATTGCTTCCCTTTTTTTAATCTGTATCTATTAGTTCTACCCCTAAAGAAAACATGTATGCAATTATTTATGCTTGTTTTATTAATTGGGTATGTATCTAAAAACAGCTAGGAAAAGCTGTAGGTCTCCTGTCTGCAGCCTTTGTAAGTCCTCCCCTCTTTCCTTAGTCCAGACATTCAGTCTCTCACGAGGCATATTCCAATCAGAGGCTTCTCATTGAGAGAAGCAAGTGCATGCACACAGGATTGGGGATTTCTAATGCTTTTCAATGAGTTGTAAAGGAGGGAAGGCATGTGTACTTTGTGATGCTAACAGAATTAAAGAAAAACGTCCCGATTTTCTGATTGACAGCGACAGAATGTTTTTGCCCCTAATTCTATAGAGGATTTATATTGAAAACGGCACTTTTATAGACTGTCACAGATGTATCAGGCATCAGACACAAAGCACGTCAGCTAAGTTTTTGTATGTCTACTGTGTTCCTGTGTTTCCTAAGAGAAAAAAGCAAAAACCATTCTGGCAATTGACAAAGGAATATCCTTCAACAAATACGAAAGTAGAATTGTCAGACCCACGTGGGGTTTTTGCAGAGGTGACGGAACCCAATTGCAGCGGAACAGCACTCCCTTACAATCACGACCCTCAGGAGCACCTGGAATTGGGGACTGGGTCCCAAAGTGTCTGTGGTGGCACGAAGGCCTTTAATAGGAAGAAGCCAGGCGAGGAATCCAGGAAGCGCAGTCAATAAATCCGAAGTCAGGCAGCAGACAAGAGAAGTCGATCGATCCAGAGTCAGGTCAGGCAGCAGGCAAGGAGAATCAATCGGGGGATCAAGGGTCAGAAACCAGGAACACGAGCTGTAAATCAGGGCAAAAGGCAGGTATACAAAGGCAAGAAAAATAACCAAGCACTGACTGGAAGGTGCAGTTGGTTTAAAGGGAGCAAGGATCACAGGGACTCAGCGCTATCTTCGTTTGCACCATAGTTCCTGACCTGAGAGTGCTGGACCATGCCATTTAAACATTTTTTAAAATTAATTACTGGTGTGGTGATACCACAGGTCTATAGAGCCCCCTACTTTAGTAAGTTATCATGCATTCTTTGTTGTCTGTGACCTTCTAAATTGAACTGGTATTTATCGAAAGCTACATACACGGTGTTTACAGACACATTATAGGGCTTAAAGGGACACTATAGTCACCAGAACAACTACAGCTCAATGTAGTTGTTCTGGTGAGTATAATAATAGCTCCCTTCAGGCATTTTCATGTAAACACTGCCTTTTCAGAGAAAAGGCAGTGTGTTTAAATTGCCCCTAGGGACACCTCCAAGTGATTCAATGCATCTCTATGAAGAGGTCCTGATTGGCCAAAACGGCATTTGGCCCCGCCCCGTGCCAATTTCCTCCAATTCAGCCATTGGATTGGCTAAAAATCTGCCATTTTGATGATGTCACAAATGGGGCGGGGCCAGTGTCAGCGGACCCAGGCGGCACTGGAAATAAGGGGAGTTTTATACTTTTATAGGGGGGCAAGCCACCTAAATGGTGGGTTTAGCACTGTAGGGTCAGGAATACATGTCTGTGTTCCTGACCCTATAGTGATCCTTTAAATGCTCCCAAGCATATAGTAAAAGTAATTTTTGGTATCGGATGTATTGAGAGATTGCAGTAATGTGTCTTTTCTCATTTACACCTAGATGAACTTACACATAAACCAGGAGTTACTTAGCATTTGCATCTCCTGCTTATATTTATGAGAATTGTTAAAGATATCAGCCGCTAATTATTAGTCATTCGAATTTTTACAGCCTGGGAAATGCTGCTGACGATTAACGATAGTGACGGACATTTTAGCAATTACAGACTCGTAGTGAAAAGATTACAAAACATATTCTAACTCACAATTATTGCAAATGTAAAAATATATTTAATGAACATTACACAGTACCGCTGAACATTTTTGCACTTTAGAAATTTTACAATGTATATGACATAGCTCATCTATTTATAATAACCAGAAATCACTGACCTGTGAAAAGTCTAGAAATTCTAATATTCAGGAATCTTGCAAGTACCAAACGTTTTTGTCTTTTTGATCATGCTCTGCTTGAAGTACCGGCACCAAGCTGGAAGGTAAACACAGGGTACATTTTAATGTTGCAGAATTCTTCTAAATCAGCTATTTTGGTATAAATTTGTCATTTGGTTTTCAATTACGTCTAATCAGCTGTCCCTTTCCTCCACAGTGCTTATTCCTACTCTTAACAATCTCTCTCATTAGCGTTTATCCCCATCTTTATCCAGTTTCTATTTGCCCAACACTTGTAGAATCTTTGTTCATGATTTCTCTGCTCACTGTATGCCACAGATTCTCTCCAGACTGTTTCTCTTTATAACGATAGGGTTATTCACATGAGAATTCAAATTGAATTTCTAATTTAAGGACAAAAAAAACAAAAAACAAAAACAAACTTAAAAACATTCTCCAGATTTGGCTACTTTGACCTTACATTTTAAATTAACTTTTTAATTAATTTTGAAGCTCCAACAATTCTCAGTTTAGTGAATAACTCTTATTGACTTTTGTCATTTTCTCTTCTCCCCCCCCCCCCGGTCTATTCATTAAACAGTGAGTTAAAATGTCTGTGTGCTGGGGATGCAGCGTGTCTGTGTGCTGGAGAAGCAGCCTGTCTGTGTGCTGGAGAAGCAGTGTGTCTGTGTGTGCTGGGATGTAGTGTGGATTTGTAATGTGTTTGTGTGCTGGGAATGCAGCGTGTCTGTGTGCTGGGGATATATAAAGTGTGTCTGTGTGCTGGGGATATATAAAGTGTGTCTGTGTGCTGGGGATATATAAAGTGTGTCTGTGTGCTGGGGATATGTAAAGTGTCTGTGTGCTGGAGAAGCAGCCTGTCTGTGTGCTGGGGATATATAATGTGTGTCTGTGTGCTGGGGATATATAAAGTGTGTCTGTGTGCTGGGGATATATAAAGTGTCTGTGTGCTGGGGATATATAAAGTGTGTCTGTGTGTTGGAGAAGCAGCCTGTCTGTGTGTTGGGGATATATAATGTGTGCTGGGGATGCAGTGTGTCTGTGTGCTGGAGAAGCAGTGTGTCTGTGTGCTGGAGATATATAATGTGTGCTGGAGAAGCAGCGTGTCTGTGTGCTGGGGATATATAATGTGTGTCTGTGTGCTGGGGATGCAGTGTGTCTGTGTGCTGGAGAAGCAGCGTGTCTGTGTTGGGGATATATAATGTGTGTCTGTGTGCCTGGGATGCAGTGTGTCTGTGTGCTGGGGATGCAGCGTGTCTGTGTGCTGGAGATATATAATGTGTGTCTGTGTGCTGGGGATATATAATGTGTGCTGGGGATATATAATGTGTGCCGGAGAAGCAGCGTGTCTGTGTGCTGGGGATATATAATGTGTGTCTGTGTGCTGGGGATGCAGTGTGTCTGTGTGCTGGAGAAGCAGCGTGTCTGTGTGCTGGAGAAGCAGCGTGTTTGTGTGCTGGAGAAGCAGCGTGTCTGTGTGCTGGAGAAGCAGCGTGTCTGTGTGCTGGAGAAGCAGCGTGTCTGTGTGTGCTGGTATGTAGTGTGTCTGTGCTGGGGATATATAATGTGTGTCTGTATGCTGGAGAAGCAGCGTGTCTGTTGTTACCGGAGGAATAACAGGAACAAACCGCAGAAGCCACACAGAGATATGGACACAAGTCTTCAGGAAGTAACAGGTCTTTTATTTACACACTGATCGGGTCTCAGATGAACTCCTGTTCCAAAAATATCTGAAAGAGGGAAAGCATGGTGCAGAGGCCTTTTTATTAGCAGCATGGGGATGCAGTATAACCCCTCTTATATTCCTCAGACCAATCAGCACACAGGATATTCAGGATCACCTTATATGGGCAGACCGCATGGCAGTTACAGACAAAGGAATGTACTATCCACTTCCACACATGCTCAGTATACTGATGACTCATCCAACTGTTTGTAATTAGATACTAATTAGCATTTGCCATGTGGAGATTTCGGCCTACTACATTTTGACCATGCTGGAATCCCATCATACTGTGTGCTGGAGAAGCAGCGTGTGCGTGTCTGTGTGCTGGAGAAGCAGCGTGTCTGTGTGTGCTGGGATGTAGTGTGGATTTGTAATGTGTTTGTGTGCTGGGAATGCAGCGTGTCTGTGCTGGGGATATATAATGTGTGTCTGTGTGCTGGGGATGCAGTGTGTCTGTCTGTGTGTGCTGGGATGTAGTGTGTCTGTGCTGGGGTTATATAATTTGACGTCATATTCCAGCTCCTGGTATCAACAAATGGCGTATGAGGGAGCAGAGCAGGGAGAAGACAGCTTCCTCGCCGTCTCTTCCGGGAACACAGTTGCCCGCCGGAGGGGGAGGGGGGGTGGGTCAGGGTCTTACCTGAGGTGGGAGTCCGGTAGGCAGAGATGTGTGCTCACCCTTGCAGATAAACACAGTCCAAAGGTAATAAAGTTAGAAACTACCAGGACTGTGAATCTGTGCATGGGGGCTGTGCATTAAAGGTACTCCTATTTGCAGTACAAACTGTGGCTGAACCATTCTCCAGCCTGCAGTGCAGGAAGCTGCCCTTGTTTCTGCGTGGGTAGCAGGGGAGCCGTGCACAGTGAGCACAGCCTGCCTCCTGCTCCCTCCAGCGTGTCTGGCGTTTACAGGCAGGGGGCAGCCAGGATACCATTTCACTTCTCAGCTTCCCCTGCCTGCAGGAAGGGAGCTGGGCTCTCAGTGACATGGAGGGAGCCCAGCAGATGAAACAGCTGCAATGGGAGGTGGCTAAAGAGCAGCTCACCCTGCGTTCCAGCCCCAGACAGCAGCAGCACACCAAGAAACTTCCTGGTGGGCACCCCCTGCAGGTCGGCGCCCCAGGCGAATGCCTTATTCGCCTTATGGTGGCGCCGGTGTTCCATCAAATTCATCTACCCCATGAAAATCCCCTACCCTCGCCACGTCCGGTGAGGGAAATCAGCTGGATCCTGTGCTGCACATGCATGCTAGCACTCCGGCTACTCCTCCACAGCAAGATTCTTGAAGGTAAGTGTTATGGTTGCTCCAGGCTAGCTGAGGGTTGGACTGCCTGGATGTCCTTGTCCCTGAGTTTGGAGAGCGATGAAAAGTTCCACTTCACCACCTATCAATATTCCTGGAAGTGTAGCGTATTCCTAGAGCTCTGAGCAGAGCTAGTGATCAGCATTTACCTACAACACGAGCCGAGGCTGCGAGTTGAGGGTAAGAAGTCTGTTTTATTGAGCAGAAGGGCATTGCTTATATACACATTTTCAGGCTAGGGGCACACCCCTCTGGACCTGATGGAACACAGTGATACAGGGAACATAGACCAATCGGAATAAAGTGCATTTTTCTGAACCTTCCACTCTATCCTGGAGATAATTGGCTTATGTCGCTGTAGTAACTTAATTATTTTCAGGTACAAGAAATATTCTAAAGTCGAACATGTTATCAAAACCACATAAAACTACATAACTCATATAATACAATATTTAATGTATATGTCCAACATATCCCCAGATAGCTTGGATCTGAGCGCACAATATGTCCAAAAAGCGCTCAGATCTCACGAATATAGTGGGAACGCCATGGGGTTAAAGTTTGCCACCGCGGCCGCTAGGCAGAAGTCAACCCAGAATTAGAACCACAGTGTTCAGGCATATGGTCGTTCTCGCTTCGGGAGTATAAAAGTACCGAACGGTGCTGCGTTCATATGATTATCCACTAACGGATGAAAGTCTGGAGGTCCCAGCGGGGTTCGTGAAGAATAGTGACCGAAAACAGTACCATGAGGTCGACGACGGCTGGGCATTTGGCAGTTAAAGATGGCTGCTGACACGAGTTCGTTCATATGAACGATGACCACCTTGCCGTTCGACAATTAAGCTGCAGTTAACCACAAACCGCAGCTTCTGGCAGCTAATAAGGGGCACACTCCTCTTGCAGGGTGGTCAGTCGTTCACCAGTTTGGTTATTAGGAGGTTAAAAAGGTAAACCGCAGCTTCTGGGTGGTGAATTACTTTTTTTTTGGTTTTATTTAGGGGAAAGAAACAGAAACATTGTAGCAAAGTGGCAGACAGAGGGTACTTTGTAACAGTAAGTAAAGCTAGTTTTACACTTTCATTATAGTTAGTGCATTCACAAAGCTTAGGAACACGGAACATTTAGGGTTAAGTGAGGGTTCAAATTAGGGTTAGGCAAGTTATTTTAACCTCTGTCACATCTTATTCTTACCCTAATCCTTGCTGTGGAGGAGTAGCAGGAGTGATGGCACGCATGTGCAGCACAGGATCCAGCTGATTTCCCTCACCGGAAGTGACAAGGGTAGAGAAATTTGATGCAACACTGGCACTGCTTAGAGGGACATTCCAGACCCCTAGAGCTCTTTAGTTTGCTGAAGAGATCTAGATGTGTAGAATGTGTCTGCTTTTTTTTATTTTACAAAAAGTGCAAATTTCAATAGAAATTGTATAAATTAACCTAGTTACACCCCCTTGGCTGTCAGTCAGACAAGCAGTTCTGTTACTTCCTGGTTTGGTTAACTTAATGGAGATAAACTCAAGAGGCAGCAATTGCCCAGAGCATCTGCTTTGCAAAGACTTCTCATTGAGCTGCTTCGGGAAGTCTGCGATTGGACAGCCACAGAAACTCTGGGCGGGGTTAGAAGAGGAGGACTTGCAAAGGCTGCAGGCAAGATAACTGCAAGTTTTGCAAGCTGTTTTTATATATACGTGCAAAAAATAAATAATTAAATGCATGCAAGATTTCATTTGGGGTATATCTACTAAACAGTGTTTTTTTTTTACACATTTGTTTTGTATTTGGGCAGTGAAGCGTCCCTTTAACAATTTTTACTAAACGCTCACACAATCCAATGGAACCAGCTGCTCAGATCCACCATTCTTACAGTCAGAAATTAAATTACTACGCAGCATATTCTCTTTACATCATCGCTTACTGTTCATAAAAAATAGGAAGAGCCTACCTTATGTACAAGTAATTTAGTCTCTTTAATTCAATGTGTGATCTCCAGACTGTAATGTAATCATTTGTGATTTTCTTTAACAGAAATTCTTGAAATGATTTATAATAATCTGGCGCAAAACACAGTGAACATAACGTCCTCATGTAAAACATGACTCATTTTCCATTAATATAAGAAGTGAGGTGGCCGAGGGAGCGCCTCCGCAAAAAGCTTAACTCTTTATATGCCTGAATGGGTAAAAAAAATATATGATTTTGCATGAGAAATTTCAATCATTTAACAGCAGAAAGTCTGGCAATTAGCTGTTTCATACGGACCGATCTCTGGGACTCACTGTCTCTTCCAATAGATAATAACCGGGATATTAAGATAAGCTGCTTAATTAATACGAAATGTCTAAATGCCATAAATAAAGCCACAACATGCGCCATTTCTCAATCTGTCGGCAGTTGTCTCTTTTCAGACCCCAGTTTGATACCGGCGTGAATAATGGATAGAAGTATGGCACTGCTTCGGTTTATAAATCCATCACTGCACATTTACTTGTTTTGCATAAATATTGTTTTATAAATTAATCTCATAATGTAATTGACCCATATGTTACAAGAACAGGGTTAATGGCTTCTGCTTAACAGACACGATGAAGAGGATGTTTACAGATGGCAAAGTGTAATAAATGGTGCACTTGCTGAGAGAGGCGACCCTTGCCCTATAATTGATGAGTGCGTTGCAGGTAGTTTAGAGACATTTAACTCTGCGCGCAGTAAGCGAATACACAGGGCTAGACCGGCACTGCAGATGTAACTATGTGTAAAACACTACCCATAATGCTCCACAAGCCTGATGCGTTTAATAATGAGTTTAAAAACATCTGCAGAAGAAAGACGATTGAGAACAAAAAAAAAATCTCCAGGCACTCAGGGTGTTCAGCTAGGATAAGTTATTAGATTAACTCTAATGATTATCCAGGAGTAAAATAGGATATATATCTCGTAAAATAAAAACTGATAAAATTGCTTATAAAAAAAAAAATACTCATAAAAAAGCAATGCTGATGTATATTGGAATCCACAATTATCGCGCCATTTGTTAACCTTATTCAGCACAAATATTAAAAATACTGGTCAATAAAAGAAATAAAAAATTAAGGGGACGGGGCCTGACCGCCATGCAGACAAGTCGCACATGAAGTGAGCTCCTGAAAAGAAAAACCAAACGAATAAAAATAACGACTTTCCACCTAAGAAATCAATCGCGACAGCATAACCACCATCATCCCACCAAGCGAGCGGGCCACCCCCGGGCAAGACACCTCCATGATGGACACAACAGAACACCCAGTGGGTATAGGCTGAAAGGGGAATCCCTACAGGCACACAGTGCTGGACTCTAGCCGCTGCCTCACGCACCTCATGGGACAGGGCTACCGCTAGCAATACCCTATAGCCCAGACACTTGTCTTGCGGCAAGCACACAAGTCTGACAAGACACTTGGTAGCTCGACCGCACGGCCCAGATTCCAAGCCAGGCTCCTGCTACTTAATCTTGGTTAATAACTGTTAAACTAATATATGATAAACGTTGACCTACAACTTTTCGTACAACTATTGAACGACATGCAGCAGTGAGTCCTTAGAATAGTGTGTTTAGTATAAGCCTTATCTTAACGCTCAGTGACAGCATATGCACCAGAATAGGCATGTTATGCAATACTAATTATTATATTCTTATGTTATTTTTCTAATACCTTTGTTTAGCACTACTCATGAACCTGCTACAAGCTCACACAACCTGGACATCCCTGACTAGCATGTTAGAAACTGCATGTTTAACCTGTGGCATCATAACAATAAGGGTATAGCTAGAATAGCGTTGTTAAGCATTAATTGTTTTATTTACTTTTATTTTTCACTCTGACGTTCTAACTGTATAGTCACGCATGATAAAAAGAAGTATAAAAATGTGCAAACTTTAATGCCACTACCTAACTCTTACAATACGCTGTTGTGGCGTCTGTCAATTCCCTGTAACCAACTTCACAACAAAAATAAAGAATTAAAAATGTAAAAAAAAAAATTAAGTATTGTAAGAAAATATTGCATTAAAGTCTACAATAGTTGCAACTTGTGTTTGGATACAATTGAATAAATAGTTTGTTTCAATGTTAGCTAATAGCAGTTATCTTAAGTTACTGTGTTAACTGGGGTATATCTGCTAAACAAGCAATTTCAATATAGTACAAAAAACAATATGTTTTATGAAACATAGGTCATGTCAAACATATTAATTGCATTCTACGAAGAAGTAAGTAGAAGTATAGACCAGGGTGTTGCAGTGGATGTGATCTACTTGGATTTTGCCAAGGCATTTGATACGGTTCCTCACAATAGGTAAGTCTTCAAACTAAAAGAAATTTGTCTAGATGAATATTCTTGTTCTTGGGTAGAACAGTGGCTTAAGGATAGAGTACAACGAGTTGTCATTAATGGTAAATTTTCAGGCTGGACAAAAGTGGTAAGTGGTGTCCCTCAGGGTTCTGTTTTGGGACCACTTCTATTTAACATATTTATAAAATGATCTTGAAATAGGCATTGCAAGCCATGTATCAGTGTTTGCAGATGACACAAAACTTTGTAAAGTAATAAAATGTGAGCAGGATATTGCTTTGTTGCAGAGGGATTTGGATAGATTGGGGGACAGGGCATTAAAATGGCAGATTAAATTTAATGTGAGAAATGCAAAGTTATGCACTTCGGGGTCAAGAATGCACAAGCAACTTACACGCTAAATGGTAGTGAATTAGGGATAACCACACACGAGAAGGATTTGGGAATTGTTATAGATAACAAATTAGGCAGCAATATGCAATGTCAAATCGCTGGTAAGACCACACCTTGAATATGCTGTGCAATTTTGGGCACCTGTTCTAAAGAAGGATATCATGGCACTAGTAAAGTGAAGAGACAGGCTACAAAATGATAAAAGGAATGGAGCATTTTAGTTATGAAAAATGGTTAAAAAATGTAAATCTCTTTAGTTTGGAAAAACGGCACCTCAGAGGGGATATGATAACATTATACAAATATATTCGGGGCCAGTACAAACCATTATCTGGAAACCTATTCATAAACAGGGCTATACATAGGACATGAGGTCATGCATTTAGGCTGGAAGAAATGAGATTTAATCTAAGGCAAAGAAAAGGTTTTTTTACAGTAAGAGCGATAAGGATATGGAATTCTCTGCCTGAAGAGGTGGTTTTATCAGAGTCCATACAGATGTTTAAACTGCAATTGGATAAATACTTCCAAAAACATAACATACAGGGATATAATTTCTAATTAATGCAGTAATAGCTGCTTGATCCAAGGAGACATCTGACTGCTATTTTGGGGTCAAGAATGAATTTTTTCCTAGTTTGTTGCAAAATTGGAAGCGCTTCAGACTGGGTTTTTTGCCTTCTTTAGGATCAACAGCAAAAACAAATGTGAGGAAGGCTGAACTTGATGGACGCAAGTCTCTTTTCAGCTATGTAACAATGAAAAGCAACGTTTCAACCTGCCAAGAGGTCTTTGTCAGTCTGCCTGCGGCTTGAACAACCTGAGTGCCTGGAGATTTTCTTTTTTGTTGCCTTATCGTTGTGGGATTGCTGGTCCTGTTTCAGTGCACTGGGTACTTGCTGGGATTGAATGTGGCTCCTATCTGCATCTTTGTAACAGATTATTGAGAACAAACACAATAATAAAAACATAATAAAAGTAGGGACATAGAAATGTACTTA